CTTAGGGATCATCAGGCTGGATTCCGTAAGGATAGGTCGTGCACAGACCAGATTGCGACACTACGGATCATCGTGGAACAATCAGTTGGGTGGAATTCATCACTATACATCAACTTCATTGACTATGAGAAGGCGTTTGACAGCGTGGACAGGAGAACATTATGGAAACTTCTTCGACACTATGGAGTTCCTGAAAAGATTGTCAACATTATCTAAAACTCATACGATGGACTACAGTGCAAAGTGGTGCATGGAGGACAGCTGACAGATGCATTTCCAGTAAGGACCGGAGTCAGACAAGGCTGTCTACTCTCCCCATTCCTCTTCCTTCTAGTGATTGACTGGATTATGAAGAATTCGACATCTGAAGGGAAATACGGAATACAATGGACTTCTCAGAATCAATTAGATGATTTGGACTTCGCAGATGACCTAGCCCTCCTCTCTCATACACATGAACAAATGCAGATGAAGACAGCAAATGTAGCAGCAGCCTCCGAATCGATAGGCCTCCACATTCACAAAGGAAAAAGCAAGATTCTCAAATACAACACGGAGAACATCAACTCAGTCACATTTGATGGAGAAACTTTGGAAGATGTACAAACATTCACGTACCTGGGAATCACCGTTGATAAACAAGGAGGATCCGATGTAGACGTAAAGGTGAGGATTGGCAAAGCAAGGACCGCATTTCTACAATTGAGGAACTTACGGAACTCAAAACAACTCTCAACTAATTTCAAAGTGAGAATCTTCAATACGAACGTAAAGAAAGCCGGTTCTACTGTACGGAGCTGAAACTTGGAGAACTACTACATCCATCGCGAAGAAGGTACAAGTACTCATATATAGTAGTTTACGCAAAATACTCAACATTCACTGGCCGGATACTATCAGCAACAGCCTTCTGTGGGAGAGGATGAACCAGCTTCCAGCTGTATAGGAAATTAGGAAAAGACGTTGGAAATGGATAGGGCATACATTAATGAAATCACCAATGTGCATTACAAGGCAATCGTTAACTTGGAATGGTGAAGGGAAGCGGAAAAGAGGAAGGCCAAAGAACTCACTACGCCGATATGAAAAGGCTGAATAGTAACTGGAAAGAACTGGAAAGGAAGGCTCAGGACAGAGTTGGATGGAGAATGCTGGTGAGCGGCCTATGCTCCTCGACGAGGGGTAACAGACGTAAGTAAGTAAGTAAGTATTCAATGATTACCACCATTCACTCTTTTACCAAATTCGAGAAAAGATTCAACACAAAAAAGGGAATGACCAAATATACTAGTCATAAATAACATGGGACTCGAAAAGTACATGCATTCGCTCAAGTTACCACACTATGTCAGCACAATGAAACGTTGCATCTCCTCACGATGCTCCACTGCCTTGTGGACTAGACCTTTAGGTCAAAGGCTCCAGGTGTAGCCCCCTAAGATGCCATCCGCTTCAGTTTGGGCACCTGGGCAGTATCACAGCCCTCACACAAATCGGATGAGATTTGTGCGGCGCATATATATCTGGTGCTTCCTTGTACCAATATTTATGTGTTTAAACAGATAAATAAATAATAAAGTATTAGTAGTAGAAGAAAAGATCAGGCACCAAAAATATGATTGGAGAATACTGAATGAATATACAAAATAAAGGGTACAAACTGAATTTAAAAGTCAGGATCCATTTGAAGACAAAGAGTAAGTGAATTTCATCTATTGTACTCGATTGCAAACTATATCACTCAACGTTCCCAACCACTGATAAGATAATTAGACTCACATTTGTTGTTGATAGCTTCAATTTTCAGCAGCAACAATTAAACTAAAAAACTGTCCAGTTGTTTAATTTTTCCACCGAACTATACAACTACAAATAGAGTAATAAATTTTACTGTGTTAACCGTCATTCCTAAACTTCCAATCTAACATTGTATTTGTTCCTTTAGAATACGCACTTAACTTTCCATTTTCATTTCAGCTTACTACTTTGAAGTGAGATTTAACAACTTGGTGATGATTACCTGGCTGAGATTCCATTAAATGTTAGAGTTATTGCCTTTAAATGACTAGTATGTTTCTAACAAAATGGATAACCGAAAATTGGTAATCCGATTCCGGTAGACTGGAAGATTAGTCTGTGAGTCGAAAAACGGATTAAAAAAACAATTACTGGACACCTGACCCAACGTATATAAGGGATAAATTACATCATATTTCCCTTGATCAACAAATTTTAGGAAGTAGATTCCTACTATGATGTATATTGCAGGGAGCTGACTCGCGAGACATCAACAGTACTTTATTTGTATTGTACCTCTACTGATAATCCCTTTAGGATCATCCTCTTAAGATATAGTCAGATATGGAGTAGGACAGAAAGTTGCTGTAATTCTTAATGGCAGGAACGTGTTATGAGACTGTCTATGACAGATGATTTTCTGAGAAGTACACCAACATCTTTAGAGCTCTGTAAAAATGTGCCATACTAGAAACTAACGGTGAGATCAGGCAAAGTTATTTGACCGCATTCATTCAGTCCTTTTACGTAGAATGAGCCCTTATTTAATCAATAGTCTCATTTTGAAATAATGGGTTCGAAGATTTATGCACATTTTGTGTCTAACATCTCAAGGGTTCCTGTACTAAGTACCACATTCAGACGTCTGAACTGCATGAAACAAGTGAAAATAATATATCTCCATAGTGCTACACTCACAACTTAATAGACTTCTATTTACTAAGACATCCGAGTGCTAAAGATATGACTAATTGAATCGATAACGTCATCGAACAGAATCTAAAACCAAAGTTAGCTGAAATTCTACGGAGCATTTAGTTGGTTCTATATTTTAAAATTGAATTATAAGGACAATTAAAACTTCTCGAATGGATCTAACTGTAGTTTTGTTTTCCCATTCTCTCTGGTAAGTCAGACTTTATCTCCATTACTTTATATATGCTACACGCCTAACAAACTTTAAAATTTAAGTTTAGATAACTTTACTAACGTTAATTATCTGTAGCATTTACGAGGCTAAATCTGTCATGATTCATACAGCGACATGCACCACAGGGTATTAAATGTACAATGTCATTACTGTTAGAACATGTCAGATGTACCAGTCAGTCAGTCAGTCAGCTACAACGCAGGACCAGGCACATATATGCGTCGGTCCAAGTTCCCATACTTGGACGTGCAAAGCGGTTCGTTTATACACTATGCATTTATCAAAACAACAATTTATTTTACTCCTCCTCTAACACGGATCAATAAAACGAAAATATGAAATGCAAAGGTTCTGCTATGATTAGTAATTGGCTATTTTCCAAAAGACCAAGTATTGACAGTGAGCTATTGTTGAAGCGGTGACTTAATGGATAAAACGTCCGAATCCGTTACTAAGCTTTATGTGCCAACCCCTCCCCACTAACTTTGGTTTGACCGACAGAATAACATAACTAACCCTTAGACTCAGAATGTAGCTCGAAGCCAAGCAAATGAATCTGTATCAGAATGAGTTTCGGTCGTGGTGTCACAATCTTAAAGCTAACTTTGGGTGAGTGACGTAACTAAACACGTAACAATGCGGATGAAAGCGGGGTCACATAAAATAATGTTTATTTGTTTTGGTAATAAAATAAAAACAATATCCTGAAGCAAGGAAATCCAGAAGATATTTATTTGTCACAACAGAACGATCTATCGAGCACGTGTAACAATGAATGCCGATTGACTCATCATCTGACTATAATTGAGTGTATTATTCGCCTAAGAAAGTGATTCCTAACTATCAACCAAATGAATTGTAGGGGTTGATATAATATTTGGGCATAACTTGTTAAACGGGTATGACATTATTGTTTGTAAGGGTTAGTATTTTCTAAGCGCTGACATGAAGGACTTAATTAAAATAATTACTAAGACTAAAAGTAAAACAAAGCGATTGAATAGCAACTCAGCTAAATTAATATTTAGTACTGACAAAACGACATGATAAAAACCTCAACCCGTAATAAGCACAGATAGGCTTGCAAATATAAATATACATATATACATCTAAATTACTCAAAATACAACGGCTGAGGTCTTGCACTAAAACAATTAAAATAGCAGAGAAATAGAACAAATGCGTTAAGATGGCATCTAAAATTACCTTACAAACGGAGGTGGGTAAGCAACCGGTCGAGAATAGGTACAGTCTGCTCTCTCTCGAAATGCTCTCACATAGCCACGCGTATACAGCCTCTGACAGGGAAGTCCTACTCACTACATTCTCGCACCACAGGTATTGTTTACGAAATTGAGAGGATGAAGAGCGAATGTCCTGTACTTTAACCGGGTTCGTGGACACGGAGAGTCCACCTAGAGGAGTTGGAAAACCCTCATTCCAAACCAATGGTACACATTGACTCCAGTATCCTGAGGGAACAAATGGTGTATGAATCAATCGTTAGTGACCGGCTACCACGAGACTGCATCTCCTAACGATGCTACACTGCCTTGTGGGTCAGATCTTTAGGTCAAAGGCTGGTGATGTGGCCCCCTGAGAAAACCACTTGCTTCAGTTTAGGCACCTGGGCAGTATCACAGCCCTCACACAAATCGAATGAGATTTGTGTGACGCATATGAATCTGGTGCCCGTTTGTACTAATTTTCATGTGTTTAAATAAGAATAAAATAAATATAACCAGATTATCTTCCGAAAGTTATATAAAAATGACCTAAGGTTTCCACACTTCCAAAGAGCGTAGGAGTCAAGTGAACTGAAAATGTGTCGATTGACAGCGGTACACATAATTTCATACATATCACACGAAGTGTAACTCAAAACCAGAATCAACCATTCATTTTAACATATATGTCTAAATGAATAACCTATATAAATTACAGGCAACTCGTGTTAAAACTCTAAAGGCTGGCGACTTGCATTTTTGCAGGCGATTTAGAACAATTATGGCGAGTTACACCTCAGTATAGGAAAAAAGGAAATGGAACTTACTGTATTAGACTTAGGGATATCAGCATTTGTATCTTTGATTGATTCAATGAAATTATGCCAAGGCAGATGTGCCCTTATATCTGGAAACAAGTACAGGAGTATACATATTAAGGCAAGGAAGATGATCAAAACTAGATATCCATATAAACCGAAAAGCTGTCCTTCATCTGGCGGTACCATTCCCTTGACCTTGAAAGACAATGTTTGATCTTACCGCTATTCCATTAAGTAGAGAAACAAACTTCGAAGTAAGAATAGTTTAGGTGAATTAGTTTCCGACCTTTAACATCTCAGTACTTCAGAATGAACTGTAAATGGTACTTTTTCATGTTACTCTTCAAAATGTGCTGCGCTTTAGGTTTCGTGCGCACTGCATACAATATTTTTCCGCTCCACCTCGTTACAATATCTGGCGAGCTAATATTCTTGCAATCGGAGACTGTTCTATCTTTACAGACTTGTCGATCAGTGCGGATGGATCGATTGAAGACGAATTGAAAAAGTTTAAGGCTACATTCGAGTCCCTCACATCACTGTTATCCAATGGCCGACGCATAAGTTATCATATTGCCCTCTAAGGATTGATAAGGAAACCTGAAAGGTATTAAAGCATGGGAAACACTCCTGGAACTTACTCTTGCCAGCGGCACACGAATTATTTGAGTGTAAATACCGAAAAATCCTAAACGTATGCAAAAAGACCATAGCTAGATGTCGTACTATTTACGAATGACAGTTGGCATATGATAGCCATACTTGCCGAAACGGTTGTTTTCGTACGTTAAACGGAGAACTCAACGTAGTGAAGATATCCCCTCATAATTGTTACACGAAAATTCAGATTTCCTAGCTGAATGAGACCTGGAAAAACTTGTGACCCTATCAAACTACTTCAGCGAAGACTACTCCACGTGTGTTGTCAAAAATAATTGCCCTAATCACAACACTGAGATGCCAGCCATTAGACCTGTATATGTGACTGAGGAAACTGTTCTCCCATTGATAAGTAACTTCAAACTTTGTAAGATACCGGGAATTGATGGATTATACTCACGACTGCTGTTGTCCCTTTTGGACATTATTTCAAGACCGTTAGCGACGCCCTTCAACATGTCTCTTTCCCACACTCACCTCCCTATAGATTGGAGGAGTTATGTAATCAGTCCTATACTTAAAAATGATCAGAGACAGACTGTATCTGAATACAGACCTGTCTAACCAGTCTAACCAGCATAGACCTTAAGTTACTTGGAAAGATAATGCGGGTCAGTTTACTAAGTCACACAAAATCGTAAAATCTGTTAATTTCCGAGCAACACGGGTTTTGTAACAAGCATTCATGCTAGACAAACTTACTGCGAGATAGGATTGAACAACAACCCTAGATGACGATATCTCTGTCGATGTGGTATTCCTCGACTTTAACAAAGCGTTCGACAGGGTTCCACACTTGGAGCCCATGCAGAAGCTCTCAAACTTCTGAATAACAGGTGCCGTACAGAAATGGATAGGAAACCTCTCATGTTGACTCAGACAGAGAGTGAGGGTTAATGGGACGCTATTTGAGTAGAAGCCGGTCAAAAAAGATGGGCCTCAAGGCACCATCTTAGGTTCCTTTATTTTTGCTTCTCCACATCGATGAATTACTGCTATTATCTAAGTCGTCGACATAATAGTTTGCGGATAACGTCAATGTCTGGAGATCAATAGGAACTGAGGCTGATCCCTTTGATCACCAAACTGACCAAGACGAATTGGTTATTTTAACCCGATGTTAGGGCTTATAAATTTTTTCTAGGAAGAGTGTGCTCATGCATTCGGACACGGTAACAGTTACCATTATACGTACGACTGCATATCTCTTCCATGCTTGAAGGAACATAAAGACTTAGGGGTTATAGTACGTCACGACTTGAAAACAACAACTACGAGGCAGCAGCTGCCAAAGGGTTTCGTACGTTATGGTCACTTTAGTGAGCAATCAAATGCTTTGATGAGACCATTTGATTTTTTTGCAACACATATGTAAGATCATTCTGAGAGTAATGTGTCCAAGCAGCTGGCCCATTTTTGATTGAGGATACTAATTCACTTGTGTGTGTGAACAAAATTAGCGTCAAGTCTTTCTAAACTCCCTTACAACAAACGCCTAAAATCCCTAAAGCTTTTCCCCTTGTCGTATCGTAGGACGCGGGGTGAACTTACATTGTTATTTTATATCTTTAACTGCGATTCAGCTGTCCTATCTCTTGGCTACCTCCAGCACTAATAATCTCCAAAGTCACAGGAATAAGGTTCAAAGACCGCGATCCAATAAACTTAAATTTGTGTTCCGTTTTTGTTATCGAAAGGTCAATGACTGGAACTCCTTACACGAACATATGGTATCACCCCCTTATGGTTGACCCTTTCGAGTAGAAACTGGATCTTCACTGAAAAGCAAATTGTCAGGATTAACGCAAGTCCACCAACCTAATCTTCTCATGATTGAAGACTGGAGACAACTACATAGTTAATTTGAAGGCAGTTTGTAATAGATTTAATCAACAATATGTTGATAGCTGTTTGTTTTGTGTCCAAGCTTTGAGTAATCAAAACTAACTTCTAGACATTTCGGTCTATAAGAATAGGGATTAGAGATGATACACATGGGTTTATTTCTCTCAATAAATCAGTATCGTAAAGTTATGGAACTTATGTATCAACAGGTGTTTCGACAAAATGCACCAGTAGTTCACGGTTAGGTTAGAGAAATGAGTCTACACATATCTACAGTTCTGAACTCTATTAAGGTATTACCTGAGATGAATAATCCCGGACAAAAAAGAAGTATATATTTTTACCAAAGTCAGCATTCTAATAGTATGAACACATATCTCAAACTGCGAAGCCTTCCACAGTTAATAGACCAGAAGTTCGAGATGGTGGAGAAGATTTATAGCTCAGGTGGGTGATTTTGATGTTGGTTTGTTCTCTGAGCTGGGTGGTTTGGTCGCGGAGCTTTCATCGTCCTTCTGAACGACATCATCAGCACAAACTTCGGGTAGAAGTGAAGTGTTTGAATTTCTCCACATGTGATTCACAGCTTGTCCTCTGCACCTCGATGTTGATTGGTTCTTATTGACCTTAAATCTGTCATTGTTTATTTCTTTGTTTTGGTTGTATCTCCTATTGGTTTGATTTTTGTTCCTATCTTCCTGCATAATTTTCTTGATTGGTTGATAGGTTGGATTGATTTCAATATGTTTGTTTATTGCTGATTGACCTGAGTACCAAGCTTCTAAAAATTCTCTGGTATTTTTGGAATTGCCTCTGTCCAAAATCTGCACGTTTTCCCAGTCGAATGTATGTCCGTAGTTGTCCACGTGTATTGATATGAGTGAAGAAATGTCGTGACGTTTGACTGCTAATTGGTGTTCACGTAGGCGAAGGTGAAGGGGGCGTCCGCTTTGTCCAATATAGTGTTTGTTGCAGTTGGTACATCATCTTGTAGATGATGTTTGTTTTGTCCTCTTTTGCTATTTCATCTTTTGGTTTGCATAAGATTGAGTGGAGGGAGCGTTCTTTCTGCCAAGTTAAATATAACAATTTGCAGTCTTCACAGTATTTCAGGCTCCGAAACAGAGGTTTTTCGCTCGAAATGTATACTTCAAATGCTAGTTAATATCGAGTGGCAATATTCTGAACTAAACCTCATCCAAATTCTGGTTCGCACTCCAATGTTTCTGTCTAGACTAAATTGCACAGAGTCTATATCCGCACTCTAGTACTACAAACAGAATTTGTGCACATCCAACCGTTCTCTAGCAAAGGTTTACCTGCTACTTCGTTGTACCTTTCTCAACATGATTTACCGTATACCTATTGTACTCTAATTTTGGTTTTCGTCCATTAACTGTTTATGCCGCAATACAAATGGGCTACAACTCAAGGTTACGAAAAGTCGGTGGGCTGCTATATGATGATTAACCAAGAATAATCGGGTCATTTGAAATTTGACTCGATAATAACCGATATTGAACTTTGCTTTGTTGTTTCTTATTAGTAAATTTGGTGCTTCAGATGATGGAGTTGTGTTTTGCCTTCCTTACCAATTCAGGTGGAAATTCTTCTCATAGGATAGATAAATTGGTCCTCATGTAGTTCATTGGGAAGATTACTCTGAATATGGGGTTATGATAGCTGGTAATAAACTTACATATTACTTTGTTAATAGTCTCAATCTGGTATAGCTGGTTGGGTATGTAACTGCCTAACCTATGTGATCTTAAACTGAAGTCACTTCAATGTTTATTTCTGAATTGATCTGTTAAGATGCTACAACCTCCATACATCCCCATACACATACAGACTTATTTGTTGGAACCATATGACTTAAAGTCTTACGCTAACTGTGATAGAATGCCTTCCGAGAAAAACCTCACACCGGCAACGTTAGAGCGCAGATTTGACAAGTTCGATGACAGAATATTTCCGCCTAACCTTCAAAAGTTCTATTCAACCTCAGAGCATGAAAGTATTGTTATCCCCCTCACTCCGAAAGGATAAAACGACATTGAAATGTACCCAATGGCGAGTCATAAAATCAATTCGGTGGCTCAGATTTAAACCTTATAAATAGCTACTCAAACCAAAGACACTTTACCCATTAGATCATAAGCGTCTCAGAGGTGACCTTATAACGACCGAAAGAGTCATAAACACTCTAGGACATCCCATCAAATGCCTACTTAAGCTCAATTCCAACACAAGCCTCAAGACAAGAACCGAGAAATCAGAGACGTTACATGACAGAAGATACTGTAGGCCCAACGTTTACTCTTTACGAGTAGTCAAATTCTGGAATTCACTGCAGTTAAGGTAGTTCGAGCGAATTCCTAGGAGTCCTTTGGGGGAAAACTTGTTATTTCCTTGAAGACGGAAGACATAGCCTCACTACGATCCATTAATATATCTCTTTTTATAATTAAAAATACCTAGGTTCCTACATGGAGGCATCGGTGATCATCTGCTACTAGATACGAAAGCCTATCAAACGAATTTTTTTCTTTTCCATCCAGAACCATTTAGGGTGACTTGGATATCCCGGAAAACGTCTGGAGGGCAGCTACCCATGCAATTCCGAAACTCCAGGGTTTACCATAAAAAGAGCGGCTTGAAAAGTTTGGCCTCTTTATTCTGTCCTACCACATATTTGGAGGTGATCGGATTTTTATGTGTAGAATACTAAGGCATGATTTTGAACCTAATATATCCTCTATTTTTTCCCACTGGATCGAGATATCTTAGAGGACTAAGAAAAAGAGTAGAAAAGTCAAGAACGAACAAAATACCCGTGGCATACAAGTTTTCACACCGAATCATCGATTCTTGGAACCTGTCACCCGAAGCAGTGGTGTCTGCACCTTAAATTGACTCATTCAATAGAAGACTGAACACTCATAGAAATATGCTAAAAAAAGTAATAACTTAAGCCATCGGCCATTTTGTCCTTACTACACAATTCTGAACTTCCAAACCTTTGAAATTGTCTACCAGAACAGATAATATGAACACCTTCTGTTGATTTATTCGAAGCGAGATTGGGCCGCCATAATTCTACCAATCGCAAGGATTAGACTTATTCTTACTGCTTAGGACTGGATTGTATATTATTTTTTATTTTTATGCTGGCACGTTTTTGAGTCTGACGTTACTTAGTTGCACATGCCAAGAAATGCCAGAAAACGACGCAGTGAGATTATACGTTTTGCTTGACCAGGCCTCACTAGAGTCAGTGAAGGCATCTAGTGGAAAAGAGTTTCAACTGCTCAATCCTGACAGACATAAAGATCGGATTTTAAAGTCCGGTGTTGATGTTGCCACAGTTCGTCCAGATATTACTCATCAATGCCTACTTATGCTACTTGATAGCCCATTAAACCGAGTTGGTAAACTACAGGTTAGTTTAGCCTGTTAAATATGATGGTGTTTTTGATATCAGACTTTATTATAAGGTCCTATCTGTTGCTTATTTCAATATAATCGCTTTACCAAAGACTAACTGGCACTTTAAACTGTTCCCTTCATTGAACCGTCTGTTTAGATGATTATCCTCAATTTTCTTTTACCTGACACCCTGCTCATCTGTCTGTCTCGCTAAAATGAAAAGCGACATAACCTCTCCAAAAGTAATGTACAGCATATCGTCTAAGTGACATAATTGTGTTACAGAACATAGAATTCAGGCTAAACAAACAATAATTATCCTTGTGGTGCAAGTCCATCACTTTGTTCCCCTGTTAAATATTAATCTCACAACTTGTGATGTAATTAGCATATCTGTCGTGTGCAGGCATTTTCGGTGTTTATTTATACACATAAATATTGGTACAACGGGGTACCAGATACATATGCGCCGCACAAATCTCATTTGATTTGTATGAGGCCTGTGATACTGCCCAGGTGACCAAACTAAAGCAGGTGGTTTTCTTAAGGGGCCACACCCGGAGCCTTTAACCTAAAGGCAGTGGAGCATCGTGAGGAGATGCAATCCCATGGTAACCGGTGACTAACAATAAGTTCATACGCCATTAGTTCCTTCAGGATACTGTAGTCCATGTGCACCATTGGTTCGGAATCAGGGTTTCCCAACTCCCCTAGGTGGACTCTTCGTGTCCATCAACCCGGTTAAAGCACCGGACATTCGCTTTTCGTCCTCTCAATTTCGTAAACAACACCCGTGGTGGGAGAAGACAGTGAGTAGGACTTTCCTGGTAGAGGCTGTACACGTGTGGCCATATGAGAGCATTTGTAGAGGGAGAGCAATCTCCACTCTCGGCCGTACCAGGGCATTTTCGGTGTGCATGAGTCAAAAGAACGAATTGTACAAACTTTGCGTCAGTGACTCTGAATTCAAGATGGACACTGTCTAGACACGTTTCATTTCTTTTCCAGCCTCATTGTAATTTAGCTAGATTTTAGTCCTTGAACTGCAAGACACTGTTTAACACTATACGTATTAGATCCTGTGATGTTAAATAAAACTCTATAAGGGCGTCTTTAGCCATCTATACAACTAACAACACAAATTCATACATTGATTTCTATCTGATTAGCAGTAGCATCCATTTAAAGAAACAAGTAGACTACCAGATAAATAACTCATACCAAGCAGGCCGCAGTTCAAATTTGACGAGTCATTTTCACACAACAATACAACTCCGTATAGAAAGTCAAATAGAAAACTTCCTGCTGACTACTACCCTCAAGTAAAAATGCAGTTATTACTTTATTAGAATAGATTTTTGAGGGATATTTGTTACTGGATGTTTCTCTTTGTATTGATTGTAGTTTTAAACTGCAGGATATTGATTATCTGAGCTGAAAATAGTCTATTTTAACTATAATGACACGTTTTGATTTCGTCAAAGGTTTTTATTCGAACAAGAAAGAATGTGATAATTGAAGTGAACCCTAAAACAAGGATACCACGTACGTTCGATCGATTTTGTGGACTTATGGTACAACTTTTACACAAACTCTCAATACATGCTGAAGGTGGCAATCGTGAAAAACTATTAAAGGTATGTATACCATTCTTGTTAATTTTATTTAGTTTTATTATAGGTCGTCAAAAACCCTGTAACTCGACACTTTCCAATTGGTGCTCCAGTAATTACAATGTCGTTTTCATCAAAGGAACAAATTAAACCACTTCAACTAGCTGAAGAGACACAGAAGCTTAATCCTCAATCAGTTGTCATTGTTATTGGTGCATTAGCTCATGGTTCAGTTGTCGATACTTGTAAAGAGTTTACACAACGTACAGTCAGTATTAGTAACTTCCCTTTATCGGCCGCTCAGACATGCGCTCGAATATGTACTGCATTCGAAGAAGTATGGTGTGTTGAAGATATTTTAAATGGAGAAAAAACGCAAGTAGAAACCTGATACGTTAAAATAACAGTGATATGTATAATATTTATTTGTAAATAAAAGACTTGCACTTGTTATTGTATTGCAAAAGTGAATTGCATGTAATTAATTGGAAGATTTAACTGTTTGTTATCATTTCCAATCGTCACCAGAAACACCCCCCAAATATAAAAAAGCAATGACAAAAGAATAATATAAGCCAAACACACCGTACACAAGTTAATAATAAATAGCTTCATCACAAAGAAAAGGTCATGTAAACTCTGATCAAATAATTAAATGACTGAAAGTCAACAAAAGTTATTATTAGATGTACTTCATTTATTCATTGGTAGGCATGTAACCAAAATTAAATAATGCCAGTACTTGAATTTGTTTGATTTCATCAGCTGGAGGTAAAACACGTTGTTCTAATGTTGTAGAGGCAGTGGTAGTTGTTGCTGACAATACTGAAGTTTCAGTGGTGACAGTTGTTTCTGGAATCTTTCCTTGTGTTTTGGTAGGGTCAGTTGCTGCTGTTTTATTACTTGCTGCACTTAACAGAGTAGTTGGTGTGTTTTTGTAGTCGAAATTCATGTAAATTGCAGCTTGTAAAGGAATCAGTTGTTCAGATTTGTGAAATTGATCAATTATTTGATCTTCGCTAACTGGAACTAAACTTGAATTTTGTAGTGTCAGTAACTTGTTGGTTTTTGGTATTAAAGTAACATTAATACCTAGTTTGTTACCACGACGGAAGGCCACTATCCTAGATAGGAATTAACAAAAGAAGAGGAAACTAAAGTTATTGAACTTACAGGGGTATTAAAATCACGGTGAGGTTTTACACTCCGATTGTTCGACCACAGTTTGGTATTAATTATCGAAAGTCCCACTATGATTGTAGGATTACCTGTAATAGCTTGAATGGTTGGAAAGGGGGGACTGCCATTTTTAGTGATTTAGTCACTTAACATTTTTATGAAATGATACGAATCCAGAAAGCTCGGTTGACCTTTGCCAATGTGAGTCACTTGTACCGTAAGTAAGGTATTCGTTTGCCAAACGAAGGGCGAGTTTACTGTACAACAGTTCGCTCCGTTCTGCTTGATGAGTGTGAAACGTGGCTGATAGATATGCAAACTATGTGCGTAGGGTCCATATACGATCACATGATGGGTGATATAACCCAGAATCGGTTACAATGGTACAGACAAATTCACTTTTTATCTTTTCGTAGCATCTGAGTTCCATTGATTGTTTTCCTGTACTGAAGTTGTAGTATAGGTATTTGAGGCGATGTACATTTATTTCGGATTCTACATTAATTATAACTAACTAGTACAAAATAACTAGGTAGGAAACTCTGCCTGGTCTAAATTTTGTGCTAGTTGCTACCCGTCACTGGTACTACCTGTACGATTTGAACTAGTGTCACTCGACTAATTTCAACTACTTAAATATGATCCATACAACTAGATAAAAATAATATTGGTCACTACTCTAATTTTTACAATGGGGGTCTTTGATACACTACTCATGCATCAATTCACATGGGATGGTTAGTATAATCTCATCAACAGTATTATCTTTAACTTACTTAGGATCATCTTTGTAATCGCCAGAACTCTGACCTGGAGTTACATCACAATCCATAATATCATTACGAGGTGCAAGTTTTAACTCTTCAGTTGGTAAAATGAGCTGGTTAATAACAAAAGAATGAGAAAAGGTAACTATTCAATAAAACTGTGCTTATTTCAAAACAAATGATTAATATTGGGAACGTTTCAAATAACCCTAAAATCGAATCACTTGTTATCCTATTTAAGTTTTTATTTCTATAAAACTAGAAGTTTTTGTTTTCGTTTCTTCGTCAAGACTCCCTCTCTTATCCCATGTTGGCTCGTCGCTCTTTTAATAAGCTTATTATCCACCATACATTTAAGAAGAATGTAAATTCGTTGATACATTAAGGCTTTTGTTGCTTGAATAATTCCACTTTGATCACCTAATGAAATAATGATTTAACTGGGACTAGGACGAAGAAAAGCGGAGTGCAGTATCTTTTGTCTAATCGAATAGTAGAAACTAAGGATTACTTAATGTACAAACATTTTGTATCAATTCTATAAAAATGTCAGCCGAACGACAAAGTGATCAATACTGAAAGATAAACAATTATAATCAACACACAGCGTAGTACAAATGGGAGTTAGTCTAAGTTGCCGTAACACAGTGGAACGACAACAGTAGGCTTCTCTATCAAGGTGGTGGTCAGGCTTGTATAAAGTGATAATCTAATCCAATTATATTGGTGGGAACATCCTTGATAGACCAATACAACTATAAGCAGTAAACCCTCAGTTTAAGAGAAAAATCCTACAGCCAACTGTATTGTAGCGTACAGGTAGGCAATTAAATTTTGCTCTTGCATTCAGCATTGCTGCTTCTTACAATGGAAGCGGGGTTAGAAAATACCAATCCTAAGTAGTATCAAATATCAATTTGTTCCACAGATTCCTAATGATGGTGGTAAATTCTAAAAAGTACACAGCCAACGACAAATCAAGGAATAATCACCCAAAAGTTGTGTGTGATTGACTTCAGACAGTTATCCCTTGATCTCTGCAGTCAACCTGTCAGGTTATCAATTTTACCTTCCCTTAAGCAGAATTATCTTTGCATAATGTAGGAAATTGACAAGTGATAGCCCCCCCAAATAACTAATAGTACTCAATATGAACAATGAGAAAGATAGAAATATTAAAGATTCCCATTGTGAAAATTAGAACAACATATGTGAGCGAACAATTGTTTTCAATTAGATCGTCATCAGGCTTTACTCTAATATACATGAATATTTATATAAAAATGTTAGACCAATCAAGGCTATTTGAGTCAATAATAATCACAATGAAATAGAAATACGTTACCAAGCATAATAATAGTTAAAAATACAAGTTGATAGTGGGAAGACAGGTGTAATGATAGTAGGAAGAATAGTAAATTACAATAACAAAAGTCTTATCAATAATTAAACATTGAGAATTAAGAGGTCAAACGTGGGTAAATAGTCTGGAATAGTAATCACAAAATATTAAAATCATTACGTAATAAGAATAATTGTGATTATTATTGACTCAAATAGCCTTGATTGGTCTAACATTTTTATATAAATATTCATGTATATTAGAGTAAAGCCTGATGACGATCTAATTGAAAACAATTGTTCGCTCACATATGTTGTTCAAAGATAGAAATATCTAAATCTCGGCAGCGAATTCTTTGGTATAATATAAAGTATTGAATGGCGACAAATATACAGGATAAGTTATATACACAAATAGATGTTATACGATAACTTACATTAACAGTCGAAAAACATGTCGATTGATCATTGTCAGACAATGATGATGCTGTGTCACTGCTGATAGCATTAGGATCCTTTTTTGATTCATTGGTATTATCGATAGATTGAATTTCGATTGTAGATGAAGATGAATTCAGTTTATACTTATTATTGTTAATTAAATGTCCAAGATGTTCTATTTCTTCTTGTAAAGTTAACTGACGTAATGAAAAAGTTGTAATCCGATGCATTGGATTACTTATAGTTAAAATTATATTCATTTTCTGAGAAAGAATAAAACGAAAACGTATTGATAGTAATAATAATAATAATAAATTCCAAAGATGGTTTAGTGATAACAAAATATAGTATAAATGAAAAAGATTTGGCGTCTCATCATGACGATTTGTACACTATCGTGTAACAAGCCGAATATATAATAAAAGACTTTCATTCTATGTAATACGCATTAGTTGGAAATACTTACATTTTCGTGTGAACTGAAGTGAACTGGTAGCTCATATAAGCTATTCTAACTTCTGAATAGACCAATTTGTTCATTCTTCTCAAGCCACAAGGGCACCCGAATGCTCTGGTACAGCCGAGAGTGTGAAGAGTCCGCTCTCCTCGAAATGTTCTCACATGACCACGCGTATATAGCCTCTGCTGTTGTTTACGAAAATGAGAGAACGAAAAGCGAATGTCCGACGCTTTAACCGAGTCGGTGGACACGGAAAGTCCACCTAGGTGAGTTGGAAAACCCTGATTACAAACCAATGGTGTACATGGGCTCTAGTATACTCAAGGAACAAATGACGTATGAATCAATCGTTGGCCACAGGCCACCATGGGACTGCATCTCCTCATGACGCTCCACAGCCTTGTGGATCAGACATTCAGGTCAAAGGCTCGGGGTGTGGCCCCTTAAGAAAACCACCTGCTTCAGTTTGGGCTTCTGGGCAATATCACAGCCCTCACACAAATCGAATGAGATTTGTGCGGCGCATATGTATCTGGTGCTTTCTTGTACAAATATTTATGTGTTTAAATAATAATAAAAATACACGAGGGTAGTTGGGATGTATATCTCGATAATAATCACTTGTGCGATCTAACGAATCAGACATAGGGCCAGCAAAGAACCATATGGAGTGGTATCATGTAGACACATTCAATTGAGAAGTCATAAATAAGATCAATCAGGTGTATCGGATTTCACTACTGAAAATTACAATAAAACTTGCAACTTTAAACTACATATCAAAGTTTTTGTTCAGGAAGCCCATATATCAACAAAGACTGATTATAACTTAGTTTGTGATTACTGACCAATAACCTCGTCACAAAGTTAATGAATGAGATTATCCTGGAAGAGGTTATAAACACATGGCAGTGAGAGAGGACTTTAAAAGAGAGAACTACCCTCACCGTTGTCCGTATAGAAGAGTTTCGGACGACTATATAACACTGCGATAATAAGCAGGTGTGATCACCTACACTGATATTCTTCAAAACAACCATGAAATACTTATATTACTGTTAGAATGTGATGAATACTGGAAAAGTTGGAACATTCAGAGATATTTCTACGAGTTATTATTCCCTAATTATTGTTAATTATTTATACAGTATTTGATTACCTACACTGTCACTTATAATTTGATTGTGTTTAAAGTATGGATTCCTTATTTGATGCAATGTGGTCAAGCATTTCAAGTATATTAGTGTATGCGTTTTGAGTGACGATTGAATTGGGTACAATAAAGAACTAACATGCTTCCTGATTGGACACGATCATTAAGCATTAAGGTCTTGACCGTTGTTCAGTGGTTGATGTGTCGATGAATACTTGGAAGATTACCAGTCTTGTTTGACAGGTGACTTTAGCACATGATATCAACTAACATCTCAAGTCATAACAAATACAAACACTTACTTGACCAGCTGTAACATTAGAATGTATAACAGGTTCATATTTCATAGAAAATAATGTCGATGAAGTACGACGTTCCAATGTTGAGTTAGTTTTATCCATAGTCTGTTTTAAATCAAATGTTGATCCTTTAATAATTGTTCTTGGTGGAATAATAAATCGTAATTCTGGAACATGATATAATGCATTTAAATTAATTCGAAATTTAATAGAACTTGGACTGAAATCTGCTTTGCATAGATTATGTTCACAGACACGACAACGCATTGATCGTTTAACAACTAAACTTTTTGGTCGTGGTTCTAAATTTGATGTATATCTTGGTTGAATTTGAGGAGCTAAATGACGTTGATGAATATTTGTAACTTGAGATAAACAAAAATGTGATAGAAATAGTGAAAACAGAGTACGTTTTAATGACAAAATTTAAAAAAATGCGCCAGGTTCTACGTTGCTTATAACTGATTCTTAAGAATCAATCAAGTTTTGGTTACTTTTTACTTATGTGCATCTGTTCAAGTTGCTACCAAAACGTGGCATCAATGCTTGAAGTCACTAACTTCTAGTCTGAGCCATGCTGTTAGATGCAGACTACTTGTTTGGGGGCCATGTAACTATCGTAACCAATGGTTGGAAACTCTGTGTGACATGGCTCAGAATCGATCACAATGGCGTAGGTGTATACACTTTATATCTTCCCTTAAACATTGAGATTAAAATTGCTTCATGACTTTCTTCCTTCCTATACTATATCCTTATATACAACCTTTCTTTCATATATTACCACAATTAAATTAAATGTTTCTATGAATCCGGTGTTCATTTTGTGCTAACGATGTATGGCAACTTGTACCGATGCATATATGTGCCTGGTCCTACGTTGTAGCTGACTGACTGACTCAAGTTGCTATGCTATATCACCAGTGATATGGAATTATTAAGACAAATATTAAATTAATGGAAGTAGTAACAGTATCATTTGTAATAGAAAAGATCAGACATAGATAATATGATTCCGAAAGAATGAATTCATGGAATAAGAAGTATAAGACAGTTTCAAAACGCAGGATCTAGGGGTACATGAAGAATGAATCCATATAAAAAATTGTGAAAGGTTCTGAGCCAATCCACTCGAGCTTTTTAACCATTGTTTACGACAATTACATAGACCCTATCCAAGTAATCTACTGTAGTGAATGGAATACGGGTGGGGACAACTGAATATATTTAGACAGAAAGTACAGACTATCTCACTAAATTCTGATAACCATACAATGAACAGTTAATTTGCAAAATAACTATCAACTGTCTCAATCTTCACTATTCCTTCTGTAAATATCAATCCATCTTCTCTAATTTCATTGTTTCTGCATTTTTCTAACAGTTGCGCTTTATTTCAGTTCTTTCCTTATCGGTCTTCTGCCAAAATACATTCTATGTCCAACCATCACCATATACTACTTATATGGATATAAGTAGACAACACTACACCTATGTACATGACAGTTTAGTCCTATCTACTTAAAGGAAATATTCTAGAATGTAGCGTAGCTACGGGTTTATATACTGATTAATTGAGCCATACTTAGCAAAGGTCAATCATACTCTGTCTAGCTATGATCAAACTGAAGTTCAGAGGACCAGGGTTCGAACAGAGGACTATGTGGATTTATTCACCGTTTTTCATAGAAATAAGATGAAGGGGAAAGACGATTATGAATT